GGGAAAACGGAGGAAATAAAATGTATGAATGCATAGCCCTTTAGGGCTTCCGTATAAAATGTCCTTGAATTGAGTGTCTGTAATAGGACAATTTACTGCTCTAGAATTAAATGAAAATGTACATTATAGAAAACACTCAGAGGTTAAAATATTCTTACAGCACCTTTTAAAGAAAATAAGACTTAGAGGATACATCATATTTTATAAACCTAATATATGACATGTTCAGGGTCTTAGTATTGCTGGCTCACTTACTGGGACAATTTGTAAATGTTATTAGTAAAACCTTTGCTTGTAAGTCAATGTGTGAAAAAGGTCTACGAGGACTTTAGGGTTGCACTTATTATCTTTACATATTCATAGATATTAGCACAACTCTTGGATACACAGCAAGGTAGTGTTATGCATAATGTTCATAGCTTTTGTTAAAATTTTTGTTATGTTTTTTTAATTTAATTTCATTTAAACAGTTATTTTACTGTTGAAAACTCAGACTTCTGTGGTGACATGAATTTGGCTGCTGGGGACAGACACTTATCTTAAATGATATTATTTCTTTAGATACAGATCTGCACGCTTAAGCAACTGGTATCTCTGTCAGATAAAAGTGGTGGATTAAAAAGAACATTTCTCTCTGAAATGTTAGGGTGGACAAGTGTCATAACATAAAATCATTGAATGTATTTTTATTTACCTCCAACATCTGTCTGCAGTTAAATAACTGTCTCCTCTGTCCTGCAGATGCTTTTTTCACTGAACCGGTCACCTGCTACTTCCTGGACGGGATCCTGATTATTTACTGCATCATTGCCACGGCTTTATATTTCAGAGAAAAGGTGAGTTACAGCACAGGAAGGCTTCAGGGTCACCAGACTGGGGTTGTAAGGACAGTTAGTGGATTGTTTAGTTGACTGACAGGAAAATACTTGATGACTCACTATTCATACGAAATGTATAAATTCCTGATTAAGGCTTCTGCTCTTGTTTCTCTCTGTTTTTACATCAGTAAAACTTTCAATTTAAAATAGCTATTTTAAGCAGGGCTGCAACTATACAATTCATCTACTTTTGATTTATCACTTAGTATTTAAAAAAGTGTCCATCACACCTTCACAGAGTGCCAAGTGACATCTTCAGATTGTTTGTCTTATCGAACCAACAGTCAAAACCCCAGTTTATTTCACTCATTTAATTAAAAAATAATATAAAACAGAGAAAAGCAACACATCCTCACATTGACTAATTTGAAGACATAAGTTTGAACTTTTGTAATTTGTCATCATGAAAGTTACTGAAAGATCCAATAAGTATATATATATATATATATATTTATTGTATTCATTTATATAATGTTTGTTATATTTTCTTTTTGCTCTCTAGTTTTCCTACATCCCTGTGGCTGTTTCTGCGTCTGTAAGTCACATCTTCTCCTCAGTGTCTTTATATTTGACAGCGACTGCTCATGAGGACCAATTTCACTGATTATTGATCGACATACTGTACATGTTTATGTGATAAGCTTATTTAACTTTTTTTGTGTCTAACTGACTAAACAGGAAGAGAATGGAGGCATTTACCAGGTGAGCAGTACTCTCACACCACTGATGATGTCTAACTCTGCTGTGACGTATGTGTTTATAATGTCATATTTCCTCTCTAGGAGCTGGATAGACCAAAGGATTCTGATCCTTACCAGGTGCTTGAACCATTAAAGAAGGTAAGTCTCCTTCTCTGCTCGTGCACACTCGCATTCTCGCCTGTTCATGGCACCTAACATTTCATTATTATGTTGTGTTTTATCTCTAGAAAAAAGCTGGCAAGAAAAAGAAAGCAAAGGTAAGATCATTTACTCACTCAGTCTCTTTAATGTTAAACTAAATAAGCTTTTTACAATTGTGGGATAAGTAACAGGAAATATGTTTGCTCCTCAAAATACATTTAATCAACATCGTTTCTGTCTATTAGTAAAGATGATGCTAATAATCTCAAACCATCTTTAAATGAACAGTAACAGGTGTAACTGATAACATTAACAATGGCTCTGTTCTGTTCAAGTGGCCCACTAAGTCCTGACAGTATGACAGTATGACAGTGAGCCAGCGTGAACAATACCAGGACCCTGAAACTGAAGCAGCTAAATGGAATTCAGCCATCATTCACTTTATTATTTACGACTGCACCAATTATGTCATTATGTAAAATCTAAATCATCATGAGTTCAGAAAGTCTATTTCAGTCACAAAGTTAAAACAGTTTTTTCTTTGATATTAACCACTGGAATAACACAATATGATCATCTTTACAAATCCCTGTAAAACACTTTCATTGTGCATTTTAACTCAAAGCACTCCTAAAACATCTTGATCAAGTGTTTCCAGAACTGTTTACTATTTCAGGAGTTTAAAAAAAAAAGGAACAAAGGACACCTTTGATTTTTACCATATCCAACACATGACATCAAGGGCCAAATGGCTGCCTGTTTACATTATAAACAATACAGTGGTTCATTAAACTGTTTGTCATACGATAACTGCTCATCAGTAACAAGAAACATAATAAAGTGTTTTCTGTTGGAGGTGGGCCACATCCAATAACAAAGAAAACTGATAACACTTGAAATGAAATGAAACATTAACCTTTGGGGGCAAACAGCAGCATATAATGAATGTTTACTAATTTAAGAGATCGTGAGATATCTGTAGTCACTGTGAATTAAAACATGCAGACTTCTCTGCCCCTGATGTCACGAGATATAGAGCTGCGATCGATGCAGAGCTTTAACTTTGTCTCTCCTGTCAGCAGCCGAGCCCAGCTCAGGGGGATAAAGACCCTTATGAATCATTGATGACCAGTCCTTCGGCACCACCACCACCTCTGTCTCCCCGCTGATGTCCTGCTCTCCCGTGTCAAGAGACAGCAACACTCAAAGATCTGAAACAATTAGTTGATTAATCAGCTAATATTTTTAAAATGAATTAATAGTAAATATCTGTTTTGGAAAGTTTGGACAAAAACAGTCATTTGAAGACAACCCTGGGCTTTCAGTATATTGTAATGAGCCTTTTTTTAATCTATTATTTTATTTACATCATATTTCATTTGTATTGTATTAATCAAAAATAATGTTGTGTTAACTCCGCTGTAAGCTCATAAACTCTTAGAGATTAAACTCTTTATTTCTGCATTTACACATCATCCACACATTGCTTTACAACAGTACAGCCATGCTAGTGGCAGTGACATTTGCCAATCAGCACCAAACACAAAGTACAAGCTGGTAGCAATGTCATCAGTACTCAGTTATACATTTTTAAAATTATACCTTATATTAGCGCTATGTGAACCTGTTAGCGAGGCTAAAATATAATAACTGATTGGGGCTTCAGGCTGCAGTAACTCATCACAACAGTATGCTCTGTCGTGTAACTGAATACAAATAAAAGACAAGGCACATGTCAAAACACTTGGAAAATGGTTTAATGATGTTTACAACAAAAGAGAACTGTACATTAACAGTAAAAGATTATCTTTATATGTGTATAAAAACAAAACAAACAAAAATACAGCAGACAAATGCATCAAAATCTACTATGTATCCTGATTCACATACTTAAAACTCCTACACAATCTTTCAGTTCTATGCCGCCATGACTGGAGGCGGGGTTTTTTTTTTTTGTTTGTTTGTTTTTTCTTGTAGTCAGATCAGAGCAGTGTCCCTCAGTGTTGTTGTCCATGATGGAAACCAGCACTCTTTACATTAGAGTCCTGGGAAGACTATTCATATCAGACTGCAGTATAAGAAAAAAGGGAAATAAAATCTAGGACACATTCCTTTAGATTAGCCCAAGCTTCCGACATGAGTAGTAAATGTTTTACAGAATTAATTTCTTGAGATACACAGACATAATATGTACATGGTTGGTGTTTTCTCTTTTTTTTTTCTCCAAATTTTTCTCTTGTTGAAAGCCATGGTCACTTGGGCTGAACTGAACTGATAAATCACACACGACACACCCAAAAACATACAAAAATACTATATCTTTAACCTACCAAGAGTAAGACAGTTCTGCAATTAGTTCCATGCTGTGACAGAAAAAAGAGATTACAACAAACAAACGAGAAACAGACGCTTTTCACGTAAGTTTTTCTCAGAAATATACCAAAATATACATCTAAGCTTTGGAATTACTGAGGCTAGGACTAAAGCCAGTGCTGGGTTTGTCTCTTAATACACATGCTGCAGGGTGGAAGGGCGAGAAAATACAGCTCGAGAAAGACACAGGACAGAGAGATATCTTTGGTATCTGCATTTGTCAAAAGTTAAATATTTGGATTTTTGCTTTGGGATAGCGCTTGTGAGGTCCTACAACCTCACCTGGAGTAAAGCATTAAACAAAGTGTCACTGAAGCCCGTCGGCCAGAGTTCTGAGCCGGAGGGACACCGTCCATGCAGAGTGAAGGACCGTGATGCATAGTGTCACAGCTGATCAGAGTCTGTAGTGAAGAGACGATGTCAAAGGAGAGAGCCGGAGAGGAGAAAAGCGGGGAGGAAGGAGGAGGGGGACACAGCAGTGAGTTTTAGCGACCGCAGGATGTGTATTCCTGGAGACAACAGGGTTAATGTCCTGGGGCTATACAGTGTACGGATGATGAGGAAGAGACAGACACACTGTGAGAGGCAGGAACAGCATTTTCACCACAGTCCTTGAGAGAGAGAGAGAGTGGAGGAGGAGGAGGGAGGGGGGACCTAAGCAACGGCGCTCAAAAGGAAGACAAAATAACAGAGTCCTGAGCATGTACAGTGTGCACAGGTCTAACCCTCAGTGTGTATTAACCAAACATCACCCAGTACCACCAGATTTTGTTCATGATCTGTCGGAGAAGCCCGTAGCCCGTTCAAGCGATTCGATCCCGCCACAGCACTGAAACCGCCGTAGCATCAGACACAAACGCCGGAGTGTTTGCCAGTGACGGAACACATTGCAGCAATAAAAAGCAAAACTCTTACAGGTGACATCGAGGGCTCGGGAGGAGAGTTGCAGCCGGGATTTGATTTTGAGCGTGAGGCGGTGCACGGGCGCGGAGAAGCGTGTCGTTTCATATACAAAATAAGTTTAGAAGTCTTGGTAGTTGGCTCCACAGGAGACGCGAGAGCGGGCGGCGACAGCACACCGACAATGAGGGAAGACACTCACATAACTGTACCTGGCAGAGTAAAATAAATAATAAAAAAATAAAAACTTAAAAATAAAAAGATTTTAAACTAAAGAAGTGTTCAAACCATGAGGTGTCAAAAATTAACTTTTGACAGACATAACTGAATAAACAATTAACAATAAACTTTGTATCAAGTTAACAAAGAATTATCTCTCATCCAAATGCTGATTACTCAGTGTGCAGATAAAATACACAAATTTGAAGGAAAAACAGCAGACATCATGAAGTACGTATGAATCGGTCTCCCTGTGTGGAATTTATCAACCCTTCACGAACACAGCTACGAACTGGTTCTCCACTGGACACGAGTTTGGCTATTTATCTTTTTTGTGATTTTGTTTTAATATTTTTTTCTATAAAGTAGATAAAGAGTCATTCGTCTTGAGTTAAGAAATGAGGTTATACAACAGCTCCTTTTACTTACTATATGTCTCCGCATCCTTTTCACATTAAAAAACCAGCAAAACATTGGGTTGGCAACATGATGCATGGCGCCTGTCCACAAAATCTTGAAATCTACAATCACGTCATAAACTAAAACATTAAAAAGAAGCAATGCCAAAAAGACATCAGCGAAAGTTGAGAATCATTAGAGAGAGAACGCAGTCAACTAAGACCATAACTGTAATTTTACCTAAAAAAAATGTAAAACTGGTAGCTTAAAGGCTTTAGTAAACAGTAAACCCCTCGGGACAAAAAACAAAAAAATAGTACTTCAGTGTCTCACAATTAAAAAAAAAAAAAATATCCTCTCAAAAATCCACTGAAGAATGAAAAGAAAAGCACCATATGTTGCAGACGCCTCCTATCTTTCTTTTTCCACACCACACAACAACACAACACAACACACACAAAACACACACACACACACAACAACACACCACAACACACACACACACACACACACAAAAACCCACCTGCTGGAATTATTAGTAAAGCTTTTCTCACAGGTATCCTCAACCTGTCTGGGTCACACCTAAAAAACATAGGTAGCAACATAATCACGCTCCAAAATGCCCAAAGTACACTGTATTGTTTCAGTGAAAACAATGCACCAGGTGAGCTCAGCGCTCAGGCTCTCACACACACACACACTCACACTCACACACAGAAACAATGCTACAATGCTCATGTCTTCTACGTAACAATAAGGCATAAATGATAATGTTAATCTTCTTTGTCAAACTAAGAAAGCCAGTGATCTTGCCCTCTCACACTATACAAAATAATTAAAGGCATAAAGTAATATTAAAAAAAATAATAATCAAATGATTGTTAAAGACAGCACAACAAATCAAGTCCACAACGACTCACAACGGGGGAAAAAAGAAAAAGAAAAAAAGATTAAGATCAGAAGCTTCAGAGTCAGGAGCGCCTGAACGGGCCGTCCTGTTGAAAAGACCTCGCAGATACACGACAGACACAGGTGTCAGCGACTCACGCGCCGCCGAGGCGTGGTCTCGGGTTTCATCACTTATTTTTTGGTCTTGACAGTTTTCAAAAAAATTGCTATTTTGCAATAATAAAAAGGAAGATTTAGGGGAGTAATTTTTTTGAGTAAGCATGATAAACACTACATTCAGTCTTGATAACATACTGGTTCAAATATAAAATATGAATATCTTACAAGTGTTTATATATATATTTATATGTATAGAATTAAGAAAAGATCGTTTCTCTAATTCTTAAGTCTTTCCTCAGATAAATATTTCAGTAACATCCTATGGTGCCGATGGCAACTGGTTCATCTTGCTAGCACATGTTCAACTCTTTAGTAACTACAAACAGCACTGGAATAGGACTGAGTCCCGTAGGCCCGTTGTGGCCTCAAAGACAGGGAAACCAGCAACATGAGCAGCCAGACACCTGCCTAGCTGCAAAGAGAAAAGGCTTTTACTTTGGCAAGAAGGATCTCAAAATAACATTTAAACCTGGAAATACCCCATAAATAGTAGTACTAGAAAATAGCAGTAGTAGGTTGTCCTTTTATGTATGGTTCATCAGTATAAACTTTGAATGGCAAGCCAGACAGTACTTATACATTCTACACTGTTCTATACACAGAATTGTCTAAAGGTGAACCTTATGTTTAAGTGCTGCTGAGGTATATTCAGTCAAAATAATTCAACGACAGAAAAGAACACAAGAGGATAATGTGGACAAATCTCACTGCTTACAGTTTCAGTGATTTCACTGTGGTAATTCATTTTGTTATTTGGAAGCAGCAGAACAATGCTACTTTATGTGGGGTTTAGTTCAATGTGTAGCACATTACAACAGTACTTAGCCCAACACTGTGCTGGGTTAAGATAATTTGGCAGGTTTTAAAAACTAGTCCACATACAGATTTAGGGAGCAGCACATTGTTTCATAACATGCTGGTTCAAAAATGGCGTTGCTGAGAGGAGGTGTAGTATGTTATCTGATGATCAGATCTATGCATTTACATCGGTGAGCCCTCCAGACGGGAGGGTCTAAACCACAAAACCTGATTTTCACAGGATGTAGTCATAAAGCTATAGCAAAGCATGCAGGCCTCTCAACAGCTCAACTCCACCAGGAGTTTCAGCAGCAAGTTGTTAAAGCTAAAGTTTCTGTGATCCTTTATCCAGCAGCACCAAATTGGGAATATCAGGTACTGATCGAGGTGGGAGAAGAGGGAAATAATTTGTCAGCAGAGTGGGGAGCAGAGATCGTGTGAACGGCAACTCGTGTGCTCGAACAGGCACAGCAACTACTGAGGAAAACCACTTTGGTTCAAGCTGTTGTTTTATGGCTGAATATTAGTACAAAACCAAAAAACAGAACCTTTCCACTTTGCTTCAGAAAAGTCCAAAACTGCTACCAAAATGGCCAAAACAGATGAAAAGGAAAACAGGCCATCAAATGGCTCAAAGAAAACCAGGATCAGGCACTGGGGGCAACACCCCAGTGATAAAAACCAATTCATAAAGAATAAAAAGGAAACTACTTTCTCATTCCTCAACCCACCAATCCTTCTCTTTTTGTCAGTTGTGCTGCCAATTAAAAAGTTGAGCAATGAGACACTTAAAAAAAAAGAAAGAAAAAAAAAAGGTAATCTTTGGAAAGTGATCATCAAAATATTGCATTTCTATATTCTGTTGACAATGAAGAGAGATTCTGTACTCATAAATATATTGACTAGACTAAGCTACACCGACTACACACAGCAATTATTTTAACAAATATTTTTGGTATATCTTAAAGTACGTAAGCCAGTCAAATGACTGCAGACAAAAAAAAAAAAAAGACAGAATTTCATTCCTCCCAAAACAGGCAGACTGCAGCTCATCAATCCAGTTTTTTGGTACAGATACTGTGCACAAGTAGATACGACGGTACTACTATTAAAAAAGAAAAAAGAAAACAAAAACACAATACAATAACCCCTATCTAGCCAATGCCACCATACATTATGATGACCATGCCCCCCTGACTAGTCCTCCCCAAAACAGACCGGTCAGCCACAGAGCCTCGTGGATCATGCAGTTACTGAACTCTCAGAGTCTGCCTGAGCCGTAGACAACACATGCAGACGTCTAAGTTCTACCTCTGAATCCAAACATAATATACAGCTTTCCAATGGACCACCATCCAAAACAAAATCGCCATCAATCGGACACGGGACTGCACGTCTGCAGCTCTTTTTAAAGCTCTCAAAGTACTGTTTTCAGTCATTTTCTATCAGTGTCTATAATCCGAACCCAGACCGTCATTTTACAAAAGCTTGGCAGCTTCTTCGCCGCCGCAGCAAAGTGTAAAAGTCAGTGTTTCCAGAAAGAGAGACTTAGAGAGACACGTCTGGTCCCTACGTCCCTTAAAGCAATGATAACCTTTATATCGGCCACTTATTACTTGTTTTTAAAGCCTTATAACCACGATTAAAAATTGATAGTTAAATCTTAACTTAATATTAGACTTACAAAGTTTTGAAAATGTCAAAAAATATAGACAGCAAAGATAAAGAAAAAAAAAGTCTCTACAATAGAACTTTGATATGATTTATGTCAAGGCCTGTCCAAAAAACACAAAAGAGATAATTAAAGATGGGGTGACACACAAATCCCCATTAGTGATGATGAATATTGTGAAATTAGTAGTAAATCAGTTTAGTTTGAATGTTAAAAGAGCAAAATCCTAAAGTTTTTGGTTAGAAGTATTTCAGAGAAAATTCTGACCTGGAAATAGGAGGATATATATTTATATACAAAATGTGAAAACTTGATGATGTCGAGGATATTTCTCTTCCTGGACACATGTCAAGGTTCATAAGGAGCGCAGGCCAACAACAGTGTCCATCTGGCTACTGTTTGTGGGAGAAAAAAAAAAACCCAAAAAACATCCAAGAATCATAAAGACAAAGACGGGAAACAAACTAAACAAAAAAAATAAAGTCAACCCCAACCTCATTTGAGGCTGTTTTCTTTTTGGTGGCAGCAAAAGGATTAAATAATGATAGATACAATGGAAAGAATGTGGGGTGGTTAGTGAAGCGCAGAGCCTATATAGAAACGACCTCCCTATTCCCTACATGGTGTGATAAGAGTAGTGCACGACATAAGAAATAGGGCGTTAATTCGGGACGCAGCCTGACTGGCTTCACTGAGCCTTGGAGGCAGTGGTAATGGTCGTGGCTTGCACAGGCACAGCAGCCGAGGTGGCTTGATGATGGGCATCGGCAGTGACCTGCAGCCCCCCCGCCCCTGCCGACACCAGGCTGACGGGGTTGCTGGTGAGCACCGACAGGGTCTGGGGATTCAGGAAAAGCGGCGTGGTACCGGAGGTGTTGGCGAACAGCAGGTTACTGCCATCCAGAGACGTGATGGGGATTGTGCCGCTCGATGCCAGAGCTGTGGAGGAGATAGAAGAAGTTGGTGTATTTAGACTGTGAGCCAGCTCAACAATGGGGATTATTTATTATTTAAAAAAAATCTAATAAATAAAAAACACAAAGACTTTTTTTTTTTCCCCACTGTCCTGCGGGACTTCTCATCATCTAATTTTATCATCGCACAGCAAGATTAATTTTTCTATTGATAGAAGTAATTTTCTCTCACCTCATGGGCGCGGCCTGAATTATTGTGCTCTTAATATGCAAATGCATTGTAGCCTCATTAAATTTTTCCTTTCATTATACAAATTACACAAACAATGGGTTATCTTGATAAACCCATGATGGATTTTTTTTTATCATTTTCTTTGTTAATGTTATGGTTATTAATTAACTACATGTTATTTTTGTTTATATACTCAATTTCTTTGCCTTTTTTATTTATTGTTTCATTAATTCATGTTTTCCTAATGAATCCGGTTTGGTCTGCAGACCAGGCCTCAAGGAAAGACTACGATTACTCAAACTGAAGTTGAATAACGATTTATCAGCCATTATACACTATTTTTGTGGGGAAATAACCTTGAACTGTACTGCATTTTGTCTCCTCACTCCCTGACATGCTACTTACTATACTGACCATCATTTTGATGTATCATCGGCATTTGATGTAACCAGTCCATCATCACCACCTTTTCAGCAGTACATAGAATCTGCAAGAACACTCCCTGGGTGTTGCTGCTACCTGGTGACTATATTTAAGTAAACATTATGACATACAGAGCAACTATGTTCGTCTCTTTAAAGACAAACAAGGTTGAAATTCCCATCTCCAAACTATGCAACTACCTATAAAGTTGGGTATGTATTGTGTGTATTTCATATTGTCTCAGATTAGAAAACACTCAGCACAGTAAATATTTATTATGTTGTCATGACATTGGTACGCACCTTGGATGGTAGCCAGGGTGCTGTTACTCATGAGGGCAGGACTCAGCGCACTGCCCAGGCCACCAGGAGTCAGACTGAGCAGGGCCCCCCTGGACACACGGACACAGACAAGATCATTTAGATCAATAGAGAGGACACCAGTGAGAGAACGCCACAGAAGTAATAATCAGAGGCCTAAACAACATGACCTGTACTTACCCTGAAGCAAACTGGGAGGAGGCCATCAGTCCAGGGTTGAGCCCTGCAGCAGCAGCAGCCATAGCAGCAAAGCTGGCACTGGTGGGTAACTGGGCAGCACTCTGCAGCGCTGCAGAAAACCCTGGAGCCGCCACCATCACCTGACCCGTCCCCAAAGTGGTAGCTATGGATGTCGGGGCCTGGGTGACGATGGTTTGCGCATGAGTGCCAATCTTGTTCTCTGTGGTTGTGGAATGAACCGTTGGCGACGGGCTTAAAGATGGAGAGCTGGTTGCTGTAGTAACCATAGGGGCGGTGGATATGACGGACGCTGTGTTTGTGGCGCCAACCGTCGTGCCTTTTGAGAAGGGAGGGCAGAAAAAGAAGAAAGGAGAAGTTCCCTTCGAATCTATTATGCATGATTAGATACACACTTCCATTAAGTCAAAGACAGGTCAAGCCCAACCGTACTCACCTGTGAAAGACAAACTGGAGACGCTGGTGCTGGTGAGAGGCATCACTGCATTTACAGTCAGAGTGGTGGGCGTGTTAATAGTTGGACTGCTCACAAGGCTTGCTGTGCTGGCCACCTTGGGAACAGAATAAGAAGGATTAAATGAGTGTCATTTAGCTGCAGTTACAAAGAAATACAATGAAACCTTTTTGGATATGTTTCTAATTCTAGAAACTAATGCGTGGCCCCTCGCTCCCTCGCTCTTGAACCCCTAATAAAACCAGAACAATCACTTAAGTGTGTCCATACTCACCAAAGGACTACTGGGGGTAAAGATGGTTTTGATGGGGGTGTTGCCTCCTCCACTGCTGCCACTGCTGGGGGGGTTAATCCTCTTTTCTTTCTGCCGACGATTGCAGAACCAGACCCGAATTACCTCCTTCTCCATGTTGAGCTGGTCAGCAATCATGGTGATCTCTTCAGAGGTAGGTTTTTGGTTCTGCTTGAAGAGGGCAAAAAAGCCAGGGATTCCCTGTGAGCACTGAGACTGTTCTCTCGTGTAATTCTGCTGCTAGATAACGTCTATTAACAATTTAAGACATTTTACTAATAAAACACGTATGGTACGCAAAAACTTAATTTTCCTCTTGAGGTCCAAATGTTTAACTTCAGTTTCTCACCTCCAGAAAGCTCTTTTCTAAGGCCACTCGGATGTTGGTCTCAATACTGGTCCTCTTCTTCCGTCTGCGGTTGATCCCCTCTATGCCCATGCCCGGGGAGCCCAGGGCACTGGGGCTGGACAGAGCCTGGTCAGATGTCAGGTTCTCTGCACAAACAGCACCGACACAAAGGACAGGAAGGGAGGTAAAGACAAGGTATTGTAATGATACACAACCCACGCTGCCCTTAGCCCATTACACGATGTGAGGAAAACGAAGATTAAATATGCATAGTGATCAAAGTGTTCTCATTCCGTGTCCTTCTGTATCGCTCATTCAGGTGGGTTCAGGGACAAACCTGCATCATTAAGCCACTTCTCCAGCAATGGCTTGAGTTTGCACATGTTCTTAAAGCTCAGGTTCAAGGCCTCAAAGCGAGAGATGGTAGTTTGACTGAAGTCGTTTCCATACAGCTTCCCCATGGCCAGGCCAACATCCCCCTGGTGAGAAGGATAGAGAGACAGAGATGAAGTGTGATTCATTTTACTCACCTATAATACAAGTTCATGCACTAGGAATTTGAGTATGAGGATAGCCACAGATGATCATTTGCAAAATACGTGAAATTGCTAATGTATTCAGTCTTGAACACGTACCTGTGTGAAGCCCAGTTTGATACGCCTCTGTTTGAAGGTCTTGGCAAACTGTTCCAGTTCCTCCAGATCACTAGGCTCCTCCAGAGTGGGGGTATCCAACCGTTTGGGTGGTGTCTGACTATGGGACTGATTAGGTGTGGCTGCTGTTGTGCGGGTTGGTGTTGCAGGCTGTAGTTGTAACAGCAAAATCGTTATTAAGGTTAAGAAGAGTCAGCAAAGGAAAACTGCAGAAGAGTTTAAATTGGTAGGAATAAAATGCAAATGTAGAAACGTTGGCTTTGTGATGTGAATGCCTGGATTACAGCTGGAAAAGAAACACATTTTTTAGAGTTTAATTAGAAGAGGTGCTTGCATCATTACCAACCTGAGGTGCAAGGGTGATGCTTGGTTGAGTCGGCAGGAGGTTAGCTTGGCTTTGAGGTAGTGTAGTTAGAAGACTCTGGGCTTGCAATATACCTACAGAGGGAAACACATGGGAGTTAAGGTAGAAAAAGAATGCTTCTATAACAATCAAATGCCTGGAATATATCTATTTTCTTAATGCAAATCAAACACTACAAGTGTTTTACTTACTCTGTTGGGCCTGCGGTGTCTGTGAGATGATGAACTGAGGCTGCAGCTGTGTGGCGATCGGGTGGCCAGGCTGCACCAGAACAAACTGAGGCAAACTTAAATTCTGCTGCTGTAGCTGCTGCAACAAAGGACATTTTCACTGTAATCATGTGGAGAAATTAGCTCTTTATAAACATACAAGAGACTACATTACATCTCCGCAGCATCGAGACTGTAAATGCATACTAAGATAACTTACTACACGGTTTTTTGTCAGACTATACCAATAATGTCTGCTTTATTCTAACAAACGAGGCATATCAATCAAGCCAGAGGTGAATTTGTATTGCAGGAACATAATTAAACGCTGCTGTATATATTCATGTTATTTTTATTTATTTTATTGAAAAACAATCTTCAGGTACTCTAATGTCAACTAAAGCTAATACCTGATAGTCAGCACTGGTATTTTGTTAATAGTTAATAGTTAATCTAGTCTGAAACCAAACATGACTTATTTATTACATTTCCATATTATCCACATTTCAGCCTCATTTGCCTCCAGACAGACAGTCTGCAGTTGATTCAAGTGGTAAAAAAAAGTCATGTTGATCTCCTACAGACTCTATAACATATGTATTCTCTGTTTGAACCTTTATTCAAATAAGATACAGTTTGTTAAATAATAAATGTAGTTTGATCCTGATAAAAATGTGTTCACTTAACACAGAAACTAACCTAACCCTGGATATTTGACTAAAAAACCTATTCAAATCCCTTATTTGACATTAATAAAAGCCAAAATGTCACGATTTAGGTTTAAAAGAAGAATGATAACTGGGCAATAGCTAGATTTTATTAATTACTATAATACAGTGTTTTGAGATTTTGCCTTCTCATGGGGTTTCTTATTAAAGCTGAAATTAAATATACTGTATGTCTTATACTGCTGTGGAAATCATTCCAATAAAACAGAATTTAAGTATGTAAATTATACAGTCAAGAGTTTGTTCAAATAATCTTTAAGGACTTTAAGGACCAGAAACCCTGGTGCATGGGTGATTGTGCCTTACAGGGGCGATCTGGATGGGCTGTGACAGGGGCAGCTGGGTAATGGGTGTGGCTGCGGAGGCTGAGATGCTGGCCCCAGTGGTGCTGTTCTGCTGGTTGGCTGAATGCTGCACGGCTGCAGCCAGAAGCTGAGCTTGGGCCTGCTGGATCAACATCTGCTGCTGCGCTGGGGTCAGGGTCAACTGTAAAACCAAGAGACAGAAACAGAAACATACATAACGATGGCCAGACAGAGACAGAGAAACGCAGTAGTGATAGGTCAGACAGAGGGGAGGGGGGGGGAGATAAACACAGATAAAGTAAGTAACATTTTAACAAATCAGTTCATAGAGATTGGAGGAGTTAGTGTTTGTCACGATACTTGAGTTTTGACTTTGATACACATGGAAAGTTTAATATAGAACAAAACAATTACTACTAAATGTGTGTTCAATTCATCCCTGCCTTGCTCCAGTTTTATCGACAGCAGGGGGACTGCACTGTTTGATGCTGTTGCCAACAGTCGTTTAAATGGCTGCCCCACTCATGTCATGAACTATACAGCAGCTCTGTCTAGTCCAATTTCTCCTTTATTTTATTTTTCCAATTCCCACTTCGGCAAACAATACTGAAGTGGATTCACCATAATACTGAATACATTAGGTGAAAGTACTGAATGTTTATTGACATTTTTCTATTGAATTTAATTATTCACGAAGGTATCAAAGTACTATTGAAACTTTCGTTATCGTGGAAACACTACTGAGCCCACACAGGCAAATGGAGAGACGACTCATGCAGTTGAGCCAGGCACAAGTGCAAATGAGCATGTTGATGTCATGTTCAAACTCAAATCCACATGCACAGTAAACATTCACTCCCGCATAGCACAGTAGCAGCCGCATTCAACCCGGGCGGTCTTTGCGACTACAGTATGGCCTCAGGGAGAACATGGATGGATATGAAAGGTGTCATGTGGTTGGCCTGACGGTGAGTGTACAGACACATCAAGGCTATGTCCAAACACATCCCTTCGTGGAAGAATTTGGACATAGCCTAAGAACCACTGGGATGAACAGGCACGCAGGCAGAGGAGACACCAGCCTTAGCCACAGAATCAGGGCAAGCGATCATTTCATCACACAATCTTTCAGCCAAGATTGATCGTGTTGAGGTGTCGACCCAGATGCATGGCTACGACTAGGTTTTAACTCAAAGCAACGAGGCAACAGGCCACTTACTCCAGCAATCTGTCCCCCGGCCAACATTAGCTGGGTTTGAGGCAATACGCTCTGCTGGACGGAGGTCGGAAGAGCGCTCGAGTCTTCCGACTTAGACTAGTGGAGGTGAAGCAAAGAGGGGGGCTTAGAGGAAATCTTCCTACAGGCATTGTTGACACAGCATAAGGTAGGCCTGGTCAAATAAGTCTCTTAATTTAACGACATAGTTGTTATTAAAATAAGATTCTAAATGTTTTAATTGAGAGCAAATTATCTATTTCACACAAAAACAGTCTAAATAAAACAGTGAAACTAAAAACAGTTAAAAACCACATTTCTGTGCTACCTGAGTGGCTTTCTGAGAATGAGCCTTTAGTCTTTGAGCAAGGAGAGGAATTTGAATTAAAAAGGAAGTGAGAAAGTGGGTATTTAAAATGTGCTGCAGCCTTCAGAGACAAGGAAAGCGAACGGGAAGGGAGGGGAGAGTTGAGATGCTAATTAAAATAACTGTTATGCAGTGCATGTAAATTCTGCATAGATTTGCATATTCTCGGCCATCTGTTTCCGAGCAACCGCAGAGCAGCTAATTAGCATACAGGGTTGATTAATCTGCCTTGTTGCCAGGCGACACAAGGAGAGCCTGGCTCATTTAAATGAACTCTTTTCGGCTTGTGCGTGTGTGAGTGCAGATGAGCATACCTCTGTTCAAACTTCACACCTTATTATTTTTATTATTGTGACAAATCACTACACCAAAAATGATCTGTTAAACGTCTGCTCCCTCCACAGAAATAGGACAACAAAAAGTTACTTGAGGTAAAGTGTGTGACAGTGCGCATCATGTGTTGTATTACCTGTTGGAGGAGGGCTTGTGCATGTGCATTAGTGATTGCACTTGTGGTGGGCACCGTGTGCCTCTGAAAGTCCAATCCATTGATTTGGATCCCTGAGGACAGAAATACAGTTCATGAAACATGCTGTTAAAGGACTTCAAAGATGTTTTTATTGTGGTTCAAGTGGCCATATAATCTACACTGTTCTAAACCAATAACAACATAGAAGCTGTTATTGGTTTAACACAAAAATGAGGAACACAATACATTAGAAGCACACAGTGAACCTGTAGCGGTATACAAACTGTCTCCAGGTGCAAGGAAAACTGACTATGACTGAAAACATGTTTTTAAGAGTGACAGCATATGTAACTGTAATGATGATCCAAAGTCATTACACAGCTGCATGAATAGGTCCGAATGCAGGCTGGTGAATCATTACTGAATTAAATATTAACACTGTGAGCTCGTACGTAAATTGGAAGCACACATTAATGTTTACTTAATTCGTCATTACACAATAAGAATATAAAGTTGAGCGCCAAATCTACAATGTTCACTCTGAGTTGGATAATTTATATCACAGAATCACTGAAGCACTGAGACAGAGCAAATTACTGTGATATTCAATAGGCACAAGTGAGGGAAACTGCTCTGTGAGGTAAACACTTCATTTGACAAAGAGGACTGCTCACAAGGATTTTGGAAAGCTGCCATGTCTTCTTTTAAATGAGTCAGTAATACAGAAGGTGGACAGTAGTGACCCCTTTCTGATTTGTGCTGCAAAAACGTTCATTTTGGCTATGAATTTCAAACCTGTTGAATGAGGAGGTAAAACTCAGCACATCCTGATGTCATCCCAGTAAAGGGAAAAGCAAAGCAAAAAAAAAAAAAATAAGATAAACAAAATGCTGGAGGTCACTCACCGGTGTTCCCGTCACCACTTTCCATTGCACATTTAGTAGTTTCTGACTGATTATTCACTTTAGAATCTGGAAGAGCCAGACAGAGACAGATAGTGAGAAACTCACACCCACTGCCGGGAGAAAAAACAACCCTGTCTCAATGATAAGAGAAGTGCTCTCACTTTTGTCACCTGAGTATATCCCATAATTGGATGATATTCCTGCAACAACATTTCAGTCACATTCACCATTCAAAGCGGCGAACAACACTACCGAGAAAAATGAGTCACCAACACTGCGATTACAGTCACAGGCTGGAAGACAGGAGGATATACTAACTGATGTCACATTAATACAATTAACTCTTAGAAGTAATATTTCAATGCAAAACGTGCCAGACCACACAGCGACACCTTTTTCACACGAGGACGCCCAACAACCGCAACAAAACCCAGCTGAGCTCCATCGCAACCTCATCAAAAACTCACCCGCTCTTGCTCCACCTGTGTGTTCCAGCATGGTTGCACAACCTATCATGAAAAATTGCCTTTGCCGGGCTAACCCACGACAGGGTGTCCGGCACTCTGTACCTCCTCCCGCTCCTCCCTCTCCTCCCTCTCTTCACTCTCCACTGGTCAGCAGCGAGCAGGGTTCAATACAACCAGAGCTACACGCAGACACAGTGGCACTGTCCACAGCACGGTTCACTGAACAACACTGGGATACGCACACTGGGAAAGCCAACAGGGTTCAGGCAAACAGCTCTCCTTCCCTCTCTCCCTGCACTCTTTTCTTTTCTTATAGCTCTGCCCCTCTCTCTCTCTTACAGTGCCTACTTTGCACTCGCTCTCCCTTTCTCCCGCCCTCCTTCTATCTCCCTCTCCCTCTCCCTCTCTCTCTCTCTCTCTCTCTCTCGCCAAGATTGTCTGTACTCCTGAAAAAGTTCAACCTCTCCCTCTCTTGCTGGAATGAAACAAACGACAAGTGCAGCTGGCGGCCTCCTCCAACTCGGCTCCCCTCCCTCCAACTCTATAATGAAGCATAATCAGTATTCAGCTGATTAAAGCCGTATGCAAATCTGCCCCTGCCTCGTTAGCAATGCAAGGCTTTGAAGTCCTGCGAGCGACGCATTTCACACCGGGCTCTGAAAGCTTTCTGCATAATTTAAACCCCTATAAATATTTATCAGCTCATTAGCATATTAATTGGATGGCTTTTGGAGGACGATAAAAAACAGGGGAATAAGGACGACACAGAGAAGGGAGAAAAAAAAGTGCTCAAACTAGCACTTGGCGCAGCAGAGGGAGGGGAGGCAGCAGCAGCACAAGACCAATTATTGTGCGAGTGCACGGCTAAAAAGTAATTAGCTAAGAGCAGGTAAAGGGCTGAAGATATCCCAGAATGCAGTGTGAGGCCTGTCGGCGGTGGTCTGGGCATGTTAGCAAGGCGGACTGCATTAATAGAACGCCTCGTTCGGAGTATCTCCAGGAGTCGCAGAGACCGGGCCTAACGGAGAGGTAAAGGGAGGGGGGTGGGGGGTCTTGGGTATGAGTGGGTGGGGGAGTCGCTCAATCGGAAATAAATAACTCCACATTAATCCACCACAAGCCTGTCATTACTGCTAGACCCCCTGTGGCTAAAGCATTCCACAGCGAGCGGGTACAGAGAGTGGGTGGCGGGCTGTTGCTGTCTATGTTTATGAAGTGTTTGGGGATTAGCATATTTAGATTAGCTTTACATTCCATTAGTATTTCATTTTGGAGCCCTTTTAAATTCAGTTTGAGCGTGCTCCAAGAGTTAATACATCAGGGGAACAGCCCGGCTACGGTGCTGCACAGGTGTCCAGTGAATCAGAATGACTGGGCTGGAATGTGTGGCTGTATTGTGGTCTACGGGGGAAGAGGGCTTAACAACCAAATCCACAACAACTGCTCCTGGCTGAAGCTCTAATCAACTTCTTCACGTATCCCCAGCCTGACGCAAGGCATTTACATACTAGTTGACCAAATCAAACAATGTCAAGAGGGCACGGGGCAGGGTACAGACTGAAAAACAAACAGAGCGGTTCAGCAGCGGGACGAGGACCTGAGGGCCAGGTCTTCGATCACCAAGCAATGCTGGCAGCTGTTTGTGAACAATCGGAGACCCTAAACCAGTGGTTCCCAACCTTTTCTGAACCCCGAAATAAACCTCATCACTGCTCATCATCAATGTGTACATTAGAGCGAACTATGAACAGGATGTTGTTCAACATTATTTAATAAGGCTGCAACTAAAAGTTAGTTTTGTAGCTCATTCTGACCTGACTACCTTATCCATTGACGCTGTTTTCTAAAAGCTCTGCACTAAAGTGATGGAGGAGTCTGCCAATTATTTTCTCGATTAATTGTTTGGTCTAAAATGTATAGAAAAATATCTACTAAAGCTACAGGTGACATCTTAAAATAGTTTGTTTCATCCATCCAACAGTCTAAAAACAAGAAGGTATTGAGTTTACAATCAGAATTCAGAGGCTGAAAACAATGAATATTTTGTATTTTTGCTCGAAAAATGTCTTAAAAGAGAAAAGCAGCCTCAACAATAAATGAACACTGCATTATACTATTACACTGTATTATCCTCCACACCACTCTCCACTGCTGATCTCCTCAAACAACACAGTGTTTAGTTAAACCAAGCCCACTGTTTACCCAGAAGGCCACTAAGAAAGACGCAGATGCCACACTAGAGTAAGAAATCTGGAGGGGCTCCGTCTTTCTGACCTCTCGAACAATCACACTGCAAATGAGAAAACAACAGAGAAGTGAATACAAAAACCAGTTATCTGCAGTACACTTCAACACATGTACAGTTACATGGTTGAACGGTTTGCAAAACCCTGCTGTGGAACAATGCATTATACAAATATCCTGCGAAGAGAATTTTAAATAGGTATCTCATTAGCACTGTAATATGGGAAGGCTGGATGAATACCGCAGAGCCGTTAACGTGAGCGGAGAGATTCAACATGAGACAGAGCCAAACTTAATTAGCACATCCACATTCTGCCCTACTGTCTATATTCTTCGCCTTAAACACAGAATACGTCAAGACCACCAGTCTGAGCACTGAGCAGATTTTGGAGCGGTCAGGACGTATGGTCACGACAGATAAATCTTTCAATTTGAGGGAATTAAAGAGCGAACAACCTAAAGCTGCCCGGTTCCATGCAGAATCAACGTGAATACCAAACAGTTCAAACTAGCTTTTAACACTCGTCAACCTATAAAACTGACGCAATCTGACAACAGACAGTACACACCCAAACTCACAAATGAACAAATGAGATGATGCAGTGTAATCTAATGAACAGTAATGGGCCTAACACCAGTGGAAGCTACTGTGGTATCTCTTGGGTGGTCATTAGCCAACTGTCTATAGGCGAGGTGGAAAACTCAATCTAACTAAATAACAGTGAGCTTTCTATCTAGGGGGTGGCAAGTAAGAATATTTAATGAGAAGGAACATAGATTCACCACCGAGGAAGCTGATATTAGCATTAACTGCTGGTTATTCATGGGGTGTGTATTTCTCTTTCTTGTAACAGAAAAATATGGCACCTTTTCCCCCAGATTTTAGCAGGACTGTGAACAGCTCTCCCGCTGTTGCCTCGTCTATTTAAAGAAGGCCCCGTATTTGTTTAGAAGGAACATCTTCTTGCTGAGGCCTCTTTGTCGCAACATAGGTTTGAAGAATGTTTCTGTAACATAAAAAGCTTTCACGAAATCCTGGTTTAACGAGTGATCTTAATAGTGGCGGGCACGTGAGAGTCATCAGGGACAACGTGGCAATGTTGCCTGGTAAATGCAACAACTTGTAAGTCATCCACCGCTCATAAGCTCCTCTGTGTCCACTTTTCCTGAAAAGCCCACATTTTGTAGATTATCTCCTGCACCTATAGGTATTTCCCAAAACATGTTGGCGTATATAACCTGATATAACACGACAGGTAATGTTAAGTCTTAAAGAAACCCTGTTTTTACAGATAAAAGCCGATGTTTAACCAAAGGTCTGCTGTACCTTGCTAAATTCTTATAGAGACTTTGTTGCTCTGCATTGTTTAGCCATGAATTGCTCACCTTCCTACAGGTTACCAGAAACAAGCAGTTATCTGTCGTGAGCGCAGCACAGAGCTCTGATTAGTTAAGATTTTCTTCTTCCACAGTGAAAAGGCTTGTCTGACTGGAGCCTTCGTGGAGGCCTTCTCAGTACTTTGAGATGGCATGTCCTGAATTTATTACCGCAAATGATGCATTATTCATACCAACTGTGTTTACATCAATGAATATTCATGATGGAACTACAAGGCTGGAATGAGGGTGGAACTGTAAAACTAATTAAATGAGAAAAGTAGTCTAAGTATGAGGATGACAGAATTACTTCTCATCTGTTCTTTAAGTCGCCCAGTTTAATAAGTTAATTATATATTTTTAAAGTAACTGAGCCTTTTTTTTTTTTCGGACAGTGGATATCACTTCACAAAATGCAAAACAAACTGTTTTTTTTTCTTCTTGGCTTGCCTTAAAATAAATGATATAATTTACTATGATGACTGTCTTGCTATATATCACATTTCACAAAATTGCCAGTAATTTGATATCACTACCGTCGGCAAAGTTACACTGTGATTGTTTTCATAACAATGCAGGCCGGGTATGAATTTGTATGTATTGGTACAACAAAGAACACAATGTAAATCACTATTTGGGCCGAGACATAAAGCTGAATTTTATTATTTAAACAACCCAAACAAAGAAACTACAGTACAGCTGACCTGAATGTTTCAAAACTTCTAGCGTTGCCATGATAAATTACATCGAAACAGTATTTGGACGCTGTGGGTTTTATTTTTTAAGACAGAGCTTTAAATATTGGTCATTTTCACTGTAACCCAACAATGTTTTTTCAGAACAGCCCCATTCAATTCAATATCCTGTTCTGACTTGCAAAGATATGCATGTCGCCTACAGCATTTAAGCCCTAAGCTGCAAATAATTCAACACACTATGCACTGCAGCAATAACCTGATAATGTAAACACGGTATTGAGACGGTAGCACACACACACACACATTGTTTTAGGCTTCTGTGTCCAAAAAGTAAAAGATCCCTGAGATAACAAACCATCCTCTGTAGTTTTAACTAAAAACACACATTCATACTTTGGACTGGCTCCTTTAAAACAAACTTATCTGCACGGTATTAAAATAAATAGTGCCATCAAGCTGTGTCTTGCCCATGAAACCGGCAGAGTGAATAGTAAGAATGTCCTGCCTGTTATTATTGTGGCCTTCCGGAAGTGGGCCTCACCAGCCCTCCCTGTGCCGGGGGGGGACACACAGGTACAATCTTTGTATTCAGCAGACACAGGCTGGCTTCAAACCCACACTAACACGAGGGGAACGACAGATACCTTCAAAAACGGATCAGCCAGGAGCAATTAAAAAGTTATAGAGACGAATTAAATATTCTAATGAGGTGGATAAACAGCTCGCCAGCCGAAGCCAGACTACTCCCACTATCAGGCACAAAAAGTGCTGCGAACAACTTCAATAAAACTGTAGTTTTTAAACAGTTTACAACCTCTAAAAACACCACCGACCACTACCGACCACCGACCAGTACCGACCCGGGCTTGAGCTGCAGATGAATCTAAACACCGACCCCGTAAAATCCACGGTAGCCCTCTAACGACAGGACCAAGTTAGAGGAGGTGTTAGCCAGTTAGCCACAACAACAACAACACCACACAGTCGGTTTATAATTGAATACTCTGGGGTCTTTTACTGTCACCGTGGTCGGACGGGGTTGTGTTGACATGCAGCCCCATTGTGCCGACGGGACGAGCTCCAGCGTCCCGTCGGCCGGTGTATTGTGCTGAAGTCCGCACTCTGGTTGAGGCAGGCCCGCATGAATAACACAACAGGCTGCCGAGGCTCCACTGCGCCGAGCACAAAGAGGAGAAAACGCTGTGCTATAAAACCACACCGAGCCGAGCCGAGCCGAGCCATGCCAGTCAGAAAGAAAGGTAACTAGCGAGCTAGCTTCTGCTAACCCCAACCGCCTGCTGGGAGAATACAAACAAACAAACAAACAAACAAACAAC